ACTGGTAACTTTAACAATTTGCAACGATGCCTAAGAGTCATTTAGTTATTGAAGATGTGATGATCAAGTTGTCACATGCACCAACTGACATGTGGGGCATGTAATTCATCCCATATTCATCAGGTGTGGGTTTCATACTATTCAGGTGATGCAACTAAATGACTTGCTTTATGTGGTTAATAGTTTACTGTTGCAATTACGTGAGGTGTTTAATAAACCTAAGACTTTGCCTCCTAAGAGAAGGGGCCATGACCACATAATTATATTGAAGGAAGACCAATCCCATTAACTTGAGAGCTTATTAGTATCCATCTTTTTAAAAGGATGTTATTGAGAAGATGATCAAAGACATGCTTTGACTAGGGCATTATATAGCATAGTTCATCATTGTTTGCATCACCAATAATTCTAGTTAAAAAGAAAGATAGGAGCTAGCAGATGTGTGTTGATTATTGTACTTTAAATAATACTATAATATGTGATTGTTTCCTTATTCCTTTAAATAAGGATTTATTGGATGAATTGGTGCAAGCTTGAATTGTCTCCAAAATGGTCCTCTCTTTCCTCTTCATAGCAGCTTGCTTGATGTTTTCATCATCTCAATACACTAATGCATCCTTTGTCTTAGCAACCTTATCACTATTCAATGGAAAGTTTTGAAGAAATATAATCCACAGTGATAGGGTAAAAAAATGTCATATACACAAGGCAATCAATGTATACAAACAGTCAAATTATGCTACCTACCATCAAGAAGGAGAGGCAACCACCAACGTATGATATTTTCTCCTTGTTAGTCAAAGCCTTCTTATAATCCTCAACCTCCCTTATTAACTGCTTAAGAACAAATCTGCTTAAGAACAAATTCACTCTAACTATGTGAAGAGCTGCTTTCTCCTAACAAATCATCTTTACCAATTGTGAACTCACTTCTCTCATAGAAGGACACAATAATGTACCTAATATGTAGAGAACAAGCATAAGCTCAAGCATATCTTCTTCCTTATCTCTAATGATCTTGTTTTTTTTATCTTAGAAAACCTTAATCCAAGAAACTTTCCCTTCAATTCCTTGAACAACTCACTTTATGGATCAACTTCTTCCACCACCTCCCCTCCTTCGTTAGGTAAGCCCATTAGCATGTGCACATCATTGGTATCTACTTGTTGGTTACTTCCATATAGAGCATGATTTATCTACATACACTTAATAGGTAAATAATCTTTCTTCATATGCTTCATTGGATGAAGGCATACATGCTTTGTGCACCCTTTCCTCTTGAGCGATTTTGTTGAAGTGGGTCTTCTCTTGTTGTGACAATTTCTTCCAACCCACTATTGCAACTTCAGCAGGGTTTTACAGTCTCTTCACCTTGCCTTTCTTTTTGAAGTTTTGCACATACAAATGCAATCTACTTAGCCTCAAAGGACCATCAGTACCACCCCCAATCTGGACATACCATCGTCGTCTATCTGTCCAAGGTGGTGGAGCTTCTCAAGTCTCAACATTTCAGGCTAGGGGTATCAAATGTGCCCTTCTTTAGTTCTACTTATAATGTTCCAACTTTTCAATTTTATTTTCTTTTTTCCTTGGATAATTGGTTTTTGCATAAAATAAGAAACATTTTGATATTTTAAAGTCCCCAAATGATGAATATTTGTATTTTCTACCATTTCGAACCCAGCTTAGATTTCTACTAGTTAATTCTATAGCCCATCAATATCAATAATATTATCAATTTTAATATATTATATATATATATATATATATATAATGGTTGCCCTCCCCCCTCCGGATTACCATGTGAATGTGTTCGTTTGGCACAAAACAAGTCATCTCTATTTGTTATTTTCCTTTTGTCAATATAAATACAACCTAAGCTGGTAAAAAAAAATATAAAATGAAACCTAAGGGTATATTGGATTGCAAATAGTTGTAAAACAATATAGAAAAATGATAGAAAAATCCTCCTAAAATATATAAATGATAATAAGGTTATGTAAAATGTGATATTTTTTTCAAGACCTTTGGAAGTTTTGTGACATTGATATATGTTATGAAATGACTATAATGACCCTGATTTAAAATATTAATGATTATTTTGATTTATATAATGACTATTTTACTTTTGATAATAACTAAAATGGGATAGTAAATGACAAGTTATCTTCTAGAAATTTTTTAATTATTAAATTTCAAGTATTATAAATATTAGTAATTATTTTGGTTTAAATAATAATTACTTTTTTTGCAATAATTAAAACAAAACAAGTAATTACATATTCCTTTTTGCAAATCTTTTAATTACTGAAATTTAAATATTATAAATATCAGTAATTACTTTAGTTGAAGTAATGACTATTTTTTTCTGCCAATGACTAGAACAAGATATCAAATGATAAGTTCCATTTTGCAAATTTTCTGATCACTTATCCATTTCTTTTTTTATTTTAAATTGGGAGCATTATATTTATTTAACAAAAGACATAAATGCCACAAAGGTTTAAAAAATAACTTGAGATTGTTTCTTTTTTTTTGTTTTAAAAAATAAAAGTTAAAAATAGTTTTGAAAATAATTAAATAAAAAACACTTTTTCATACAAGTTTTAAAATTTTTCTGTTTCAAAAAATAAAAAAACAGTTTTCATAGAATTTTTTTTAAAATGTAAAAACAAACGGACCCTAACCCTCTATTTGAATGGGAAAAAAGGTTAAAAGGAAAGAAAATGAGAGAAAAGAAAATGGAGAGAAGAGAAAACTGAAAAGAAAATATTAACACTCCTTTTGTTTGGATGGACAGGAGAAAATAGGGAGAAAAAAAATGAACAGATATCATAATAACTATAATGTTCTTATATCAAAATATATCATGTTTTATGTAATTATATTTGTGAAAATAAATTAAAAGAAGAAATTATATTAAAATTAACATAATCAAATTAATTTAAAATCACATTATTTGTTAAAAATATATTTTATATTATATTTTAAAATCAAATAATTAAAATTAAATTAATGTAATTCTAGACACTTGATCTAGCCAATGACTAAATTATTTAATTAATAGTTAAATTAATGTAATTCATAACTATAAAAGTTAAAAATTATAAACCAAACTATTTAATTAAAATTAAATTAATGAAATTAAGTAATCTCCTGAAAATTAGAGCGCGAAATAAATAAGAGAGAGAGAGAGAGGATAGATAATGAAAAAAATTTTACTTCCAAAATCTATTTACTTTTGGAGGGAAAAGTTGAAAGGAAAAAATAGTGAGTCATACACCTTATTTTTCTCTCACTTTTTCTTTTTTCTTATTTTTTCTTTCCTATCCAAATAAGGAAAAATCTGTTTTCTTTTTTGTTTTCTCATCATATTTTCTTTCCTCCCATAATTTCTTCTCAACCAAATGGAGCATAAGTTTCTGACTTTTGAGGCATTTTCCTTCGTGCTGTCTCTCTCAAAATATCTTCATTCATACTACTTTTTTTTTTCCAAATATTATTCAATCAATTAAACTTCCAAAATCTTCAGCTTGGTTCCTTTGGTGGTTTGTTCGATTAAAGTTTCTCATAAATGGTTAAAACAATGAATGCAAATGTTTTGAAAGGGCGACAATGAGAAATGACAACTTTAGTCCGACTATTAACTAATTAACCAATATGAAATAAAAAATGATCATTTCTTTCTTTGTTTTTTTTTGTAAATTTGTAATCTTATCCTATATATATAGTAAAATATGAAGTTTTTTCATTGTCCATGGAACAGTGAAAACAATAATATCATGGATCCGCCATTCTTTTTTTAAAATTCAATTTTTTTTGTTATGCTTATATTTTTTATTTTGTTAAAAATCAAAGCATGTTTGACTATGACTAATAATATCTAAATTTATTTTTATATTATATTTTTGAGATGTAATATTAACATATTTTATATTTATATAATTTTTACATTATTCTTTAGTTTTCTTCACAAGTAATAAGTTCAGAAATAAAATAAGGTGCCTATATTTTTAGCAAGCACAAAAGTAAAAAGAATATTATAAAAGATATAATAAAATTTTTTTATTCAAAAATATCTCCTCTTGAAAAAAAATTTAAAACACGGTTAGATATTCATGTGAGCACTTTTTTAATAGGATTAATTCCTTCTAATCTTCTACTATATCTATCTCTCATTCATAAAAGAATAATAAATTGTTATTAAAATAATTTATTATATGTTTGGCGGCGTGTGGATCATGAATCTTATTGGTGGGGTTCTTTTTTTTTTTTTTAAGATGCAGTAGTTTTTTTCACATTTTTTTTTTTACGATCATAATCATTTTCACTTTGTTTAAAAACAGTTATAATATATTATGACCTATTAAAAATAGACAATATAATACATACAATATAGGACTCAAGTTTTATCAAGTCAGAACTTTACATAAAGATACATATTCATGTGAAGTAATTTTTAGAGACAAATAAAAAAACGAGTGAATTTCTTCTTAACCCTGTGTATCCCACGGGCCATTTTATAGTTTATAAATGAATAAAAAATAATTACTTCGGTTTTGAAAATGGTTATTTTAATTGTACTTAATTGATAAATAAATTTGTCAAAAAATCATTTTTTAATTCCATTTTAATTAATAACTCAATTAAAGTAGTCTTTTTTTCAAAAATAAAATATCATACAAGCCATCTGAAACTAAATAATAATTGTTATATTTTATGATACTTAAATATTATTTATATATTTTATAGGTATTTTTTTATCATTTTCTGAAGTTTTCTTAATCCAAAATTAATATAAAAATTACCAAATATTAATGGAATTGGGTACGTGACTGATTAATATTAAAATTGCCACAAGAGCGGTGTCACATGTACTGGCTTTGCCCTTTGCATGATTAACTGAATATCTGTTTAGAATAAAAAATAAGAAAGATTATAAAACTAAACCAAATTAATTTTATGTTTCTACTTAACTATCTATATCCATTAGAATGATGCACTCCCTTCCGCGTTTCCAAGGATTTTGCGTTTTGCCTGCAGGACGAAGCACAGACGAGAGAGAACGAACAGCCCCAACGCTGTGACGACGTCATTGAACGTGAGAGCATCGGCGATCCATTTCAGGCGAATCTTTCATTTTGAGGGCTTTAAAGTTCTAACTCTGGTTTATCTCTCTCCCTTCCTCACGTTCGGTTCTGTGATTTGATTTTTCTTTTCTTCGACGACTTAAGAAGTTGGTTAATTTACGGTTATGATGCGTATTTTGTATACCCAATAGTGTTCATGTGGTAATTTGGAAGTTATGTATGTCTATTGAAATGATCTTGATGATATAGCTTGTTGATTATTTATTTATTTATTTATTTCAAAAGAGGTAGGAAAGTGACCTATACTTTGCAAGATTTAGATGCAAATATATTTTGTTGTACAATTGGATTCGTGATGATAACACAGTTCAATTCTAAAAAAATTTTGAAGTTCGGAAAGATTGTTGAAAAGCTAGCCTAGTACCCAAATGATTGCTGTCCATTCCACTTTGCCTGATTTATGAAAAGTGATAGACGATGTGGCGCGGTTCTACGGAAGCTTGAGAATCATAAAAAATTTATACAGAATATGATTTGTTGGTAGAAACTCGAAGGATATTGTTTTTGCAGTCGAAAACTATTGAGTTCCTTTTCTTTTTTCCCTTAACGTAAAGTTGATGCGCTTGTTATGGAATTGATCAATGATGCAGTTTTCATAAGCGTTGTAAATTCAATTGTACAGAAAGTTGCTTCAAATTTGAGTAATTAAACTTATTGTTTTTGTGCAGGTTTGCAATCTAAGATGACGCCAGTGTGCCCTTTTGTCAAAGCTGCTCGTCCTGATGATACCTCTTCAAAAAAATCTGGGGAAAATTCAGTTAAGCATCAAGCTGCGTCTGAGAGTAAGGCCAAAAAAGATTCTAACAACTCAGCCGGTGCTTCACCAAAATGCCCTTTTGGATATGACTCCCCAGCAAAAAAAGAGTCTGACAGCTCAGCTAGCGCTTCTCCTAAGTGCCCTTTTGGATATGACTCCCAAACATTTAAGATTGGTCCTCTTAGCTGTATGATATGCCAGGCACTCCTATTTGAAACTAGCAAATGTGTGCCCTGTTGTCATGTTTTCTGCAAGTATGCTTCCCATGGCTTTTCTTGCTTCTTTATTAACATTCTTATAGCTTGTTTCTGATTTTTTTCTCTCATTTTTTTTATATATTTGAAATTAGGGCATGTATATCACGCTTTAAGGACTGTCCGTTATGTGGGGCTGATATTGAGAAAATTGAGCCTGATGCTAATCTTCAAGGTACAGTTGATCGCTTCATTGAAGGTCATGCTAGGATCAAAAGGTCTATTAGTTCAGACAAAGGAGAAGAAACAGAAGAGAATAAGCCAGTTATATACGAGGATGTATCTTTGGAAAGGGGTTCCTTCTTAGTGCAACAGGCCATGCGGGTAATTATGGCTTTTACAAAAATGCTGCTAAGCTGCATACTGTTATATTGCAATGGATAGAATGGAATTGCTCCTTAATTTTTCTTTTTTTTAGCGGCATGAAAGTGAGAAACTTTTCATATTGCTCCTTCCTAGTTTTCATTTATTTATAAGTTATTTATTATCATAATGGTAATGGACAAATGATGACAAAGGTGACAACGAATAATGACCTTAAATTATAATTACTCTTGCTGCATGCTATTCTGATTGCTGTGATTGGATGTTTTGGAAAGCATCATTGTGGGGACATACCATACAGGCAATGGGGGGACATTGCTATGATGAGCTTTTCTGTATGATTTGGGCAATGTTATGCTGCCTGACAATGAGAAGTTTGTTGCTTGATATTCAACTTCAGGCATTCCGTGCTCAGAATATAGAAAGTGCCAAATCAAGGCTCAGCCTCTGTGCAGAAGATATTCGTGGCCAATTAGAAAAGATTGGTAACACATCAGAATTATGCTCACAGCTTGGAGCAGTATTAGGCATGCTTGGTGACTGCTGGTGCGAATTCTATATTTTATCTTTCTGTCTCTTTTTCTTGTCCATATGCTTCTTATATCACTTGATTTTTTTGGCCAAACTCTTATCTTCCTGTTTGTGTACATATCAATCTGCTTTGTTTTCGTTGTATTCTGATTTTCACTTTTCCATTTGTTCTTTACCTGGATTTATTTGTAGGATATTTTCACTTTCTTCCATCGGACTATCTTTCAAAATTGATACCTTAAGAAGGATGAAATTTTGTACGAGTATAAATATCAGGCAGAACTCCCATTGATTGAGGAAAAGGATACAAATAACGATAGTTAGAGGTATGAATGCATGTCTGAAAAATGATGAAATGATTCTAATAAGAATACTTCTTTTTTTAATATAAAAACTCAGCCAAGGCCTGGAAGAAGTTACAAAAGAAATGAACCAAAAATAAACTAAAGCCTAGATAGTGCTTTGCAAATCTGGAAAGAGACTGAGTCATCCTGGGGGAACCTCATCGACCAATTTAATTACATGATCAGACTGATGAGTATTTTTGGCCATAAAATTGGCACAGGAGATACTTTCATGAAAAGCATGGTGTAGTTCCACTTCTCAGTTATTCTAACAGGAATACTGGATGGAATTAGACATAGACCAAAAGTAGTAGTAAGTAGTGCTTCTGTAGTAGTTGGTTCAAGGCTGTGTTATTTTGTTTTTCTCAAGTATCTTTGCAACTAAAGGCCCATGAATAGCTTTATTGAAGTGTGGACATAGTACAAGCTCAATATGCCTTATGTTGAAATTTCATTTGATTATGTATGATTAAAGCACCAAAGATTGAACTCTTAACTACTTGGTTACAACGGCTTCAGTACCATGCCAAGGATTATATCAAGTGAAATCTTAAATTGTTATGTGAAGGCCATGAATAGTTTTAGTTATTTGCTAACAGTTATCATCTTCGCACCTGCCTCTGCCTTCCAAATGAGTTTGCCCCCTTCTTTTTTGGGTTTCATTATTCAAAAAGACAACCACTATTTTAACAATTTATTTGTGATGGTAGCCCAAGAAGATTCCTGTAAACTTCCGCCAGTAATTTGGGATTTTATTATTATTATTATTATTATTTTGTATGAAGAAATGAGGAGAATTTGGCCAAATCAATGAGTGATTTGTAAAAGTCATATTGTTCTATTTTATATTGGTAGGTTAGCATATATCAAGCGCTCTCAAGTTTCAACGTGTTATGTGAACTGCAGAAGGTAGATAATTAAGATAGGAAATTCTGCTGAAAGTAAAGAACAAAGAACAATTTCAAAACTCAGATTAAATGATAAAACCTGCTATTGGACTATAATAATATTTTAAAAGCATCCCCAGTATCTGTGATTGACCATGTGAAATAAATTGAACTGCTTGTTGAGTTCCCAGAAGAGCAGGTAAAGCTTGTTTGAAAAGTTTGGTGAAATTGATCAAGTGGTGTTTGTAGTATCATTGAAAACTATGGCTATTCCTGACCCTTTGCCCAACCACTTACCCTTCTTTGCCAAAAAAAAAAAAAAGCTTGATGACATGGTTTTAAAATTTTTTTAAATGACAGTCATTGTATCTGGAACATGGACAGCACTAGATTATTAAAAAAGCAATGCAAGCCTTCTTTCTGTGTGTAGTGTTTACCTTGCCTTGTAGAAAAAAGGACATTATTCCATGACGTCAAATGCTTATTAGCGGCCAATTGTGAGATGCATGCTGACTTTATATCTTCCGCAGCCGAGCTATGGGGGACGCTAGTTCTGCAGTTGCTTATTTTGAAGAAAGTATTGAATTTCTCTCGAAGTTACCAAAAGATGACTTGGAGGTTATTTCATTAGAACTTTTTTTAAGACCATGTTTGTACGCCACATAATCATCTTTTGTTAATTTTATTTTTTAATTTATATTTTTAAACTCTTCTCCTGACAGATTACGCATACACTTTCTGTTTCTCTGAATAAAATTGGAGATCTTAAATATTATGATGGAGATTTAGAAACTGCAAGATCCTACTATTTTCGGTCTTTGAATGTTCGGCGTGATGTAGTCAAGCATCATTCAGATGTTCCATCCCAGGTTGGTTACTGCTCTGTCTATATTGAAATTGAGCTATGAAAGATTAATACAATGTCTAAATTGCTTTTGGTGCATTCTTGGCTTTGCATTCTATTGACTTGCCAAAATATGTTACATGGATGTTCTTGATTAGAAATTTGCATCATACTTCATAAAAGATAATAATCCCTGGGATTGTGAAGGATTTCTGGATTTCATACACTGCTTTTCAAGGGGTATATGCTGTGCATTTAGCCATTTACTGACAATAAAAATTGAGTTTACATTAGATGTTCATTTCATGGTTGATTTTTTTCCTTTTTTTTTTTGGGGGCCCAAGGCATATGAACGGATGCATTACATTTATTAGGCATTGGCATTGATTTGTGTGTTGCATCCGATACTCTACTGTTATAGAATTAGTGAAGAACTCAGTCTGGAACCTTTTTTCATTATAGGTAGTTATATAGCTTGTCACAGACAATTATGTATTGCGCAAATACCTCTGCAAACAGCAGGTGAAAAAAGCAAAGATATCTGGCAACATTGGCCCTAACAAATATCCCCGAAAGGAGTTTTATTGAGCACGGAGACTTTGCAAATTGAATGTGTTTCAGTTTCATCTTTGCTTCCTTAAATTAAGATATCAGATTCCTGGGTGTTCTCTGCTGGTTTGAATTAGGTTGTTAATTATTTATGGAAGGGAAAGTGTACATGGTCTTAGCAGTCACAAGGGTATAATAAGTTTTTGCTAACTATACTGCGTTTGGTCCCCTAGAAATAGCCAAAGAAGCTCGTGTAATCCCTTTTAAAATAATCATAAAATACATTGGCATGTTTGAATGCTGACCGGCAAAGGTACACTTTCAGCTGAGAAGAGAAGTATAATCCAAAGAATCTCGGATTAATTTTAAAAATATTCTTCTTCTCTGTATCCATATTCTAAAGAAGTTTTGGTGATGGTAATTTTGGTTGGCGGGTCACATTTCCATCATTTCTTTATTCTAAGTTTTATGGTAAGACTGAATATTTAGAAGTTTTATCCCCCCCCCCCAAAAAAAACTGCTAACCAATGTAAAACTGCTCAATTTTTTCAAGTGACCATTCAATTTAATAAAAGGATTACATCCAAACTGTTGTTATAGATATATATGTTTCTGCACCTGAACTGGTTGATGTTGATGTCAACACATTATTTGTTATATCATTCAGGTTCTAGATGTTGCTGTTTCTCTTGCAAAAGTGGCAGATGTGGACAGGAATCTGGGAAACGAAAGTTTGGCAACGGATGGATTTCAAGAAGCTATTGACTTATTGGAGAAGTTGACACTGAAATCTGAAGCCAGTGGCCTTGAGCAACGTGTAAGTTTTTATCTATTTGTCCTGCTATCTTTTATTATTTTGGATAAAACGTTATATTTATATTTTAGCCAAAGAAAGAAATACTTTATCGTATAATTTTTTTTCCATTTACCAATATAATACAAAAGTCTCTTGTCTTCCATCCTTACCCCATTCCACCAAATGATCACATTTATGTTTTTCTATTCTAAAAATAGGGGAGAATGAGAATAAAAAGTCCCAAAATTGAGAATTTATAACAGTTAGATTCCCGATAAAGTTTTTTGAAAAATAAGTTACAAATATTGATTCAAATAGTTACAAACAAGAATCATAATTATAAATTGAGAGTTATATTTAGAATTTAAATGTCTTATTTGCAATTAAAATTCCTAAATTTTTAACTGTCTGAATCAATATTTACAATTGATTTTATAGAAAAAATTTTGGGGACTTAATTGTCATAAATTTATTGTTTTGGGATTTTAATGTCATTGTCCCTCCTAATAGAGAATGACGCCAAAATAAAAAGAATCTCACATCTTGCTAATTATCATTTTTTTCTTTAAATCTCTCTCTAAGAATGCATGTTTATGAATAGAGAGGATCCAGGTTGCTATTTCCTCACTACTAAAGTTCTTTTTCACTCTTATATCTCCATGTTAGATCCTGAAATAACTTACTTTATTCTCTTTTCTTTTATAGCGACTTTCGGTGCTAGAGTTCCTCAGAAGCCAACTTGCAGATAAACAAGAACAAGCCGAGGCAACAGTCTAAGATCATACATACATATATCTTCCCCATGAGAAGGCAGGCTTCAGTTTCGGTTGCATAAATGTGTTTCTGTAAGCCACATGCAAAATCTGTAAAATAAGCTCCACGAAACAGAGAAGATCCTCAATTCTCATCTAGGAAGAAGAGCTTTCAGGGTAAAAGCTATGTATTTCAGGCCATCCCTAAGTCGCTTTATTAGATGCCACTTCTGAGATTCCACTCATCATGTCTATATCCTTCTGTTTCTCACCTTTTTTTTTTTAATCGTTTCTCTTCTTAGTGTACAAGGGACAAATTGTATTTCGATTCTCTGTGGTTAATGTATTAACGTGTTTCTGAAGTGTGGTTGAGTGTGACACACTATGAGAGTTGCTGTGGAGCTCACTTTCTCTCCTTTTTATTCGTATCTCTCTTCTCTTTCACGTTATCGGTATATGTTAGATGCATGTAATCTTAGAGGATCTTCACTTGGACAAGTTATTCTAGTTGGGTTCTTCTCTTCATTACCATGAGTGATTGAGTGAGTAAAATGTAATGTGTAAGTTGCAGTATGCTATTTTGACGTTGAAGCTGGGAACAGAAGTTATAGCTAGTTGGAAGTATATGGAATATTGTATAGTGATCATTGTGCCCTTGATAGTCCTCTTTGGTAAGGATGTTAACATGTTCAGTTTGACTTGATTTTGAAGAAAAGTCAGAGCAAATCAAATCAATTGATTTACTATAGTCTGACCTATTTGGTTTTTTATTTTTTTAATTGGTTTTGATCAATTTATGACAGTTTGGTTTAGTTTGTTTTAGCGTGATCAGTTTGAATTGGTTTAGAACATTCTTACTATTTGGTTAAGGATGTCTCTACAGCTGTTCTCGGGATCCAAATGGAGCATTATGCTACAGATTCCCTTTGAACATTATTCTAAAAGCTTGTTTGGTTTTCTTCGATGTTTTTTTTTTAAATTATTTTATAGATCAATTCTTTAAAATTGTTTTTCAAAAAAAAAAGTAAAATGAAAATTTGTTTGATTTTGTTAATTTAAAAATAATTTTAAAATTAAAAAATGTTGATAATGATAATGTGGTCATTGGTGATTAATGGGGATGATTTAAGATAATTGTTGGTAGGTAATTTATAATAATTAAGTGTAGTGTGTACCTAAAAATGAAAAAGATAAAAAGAATTCTAAGACGTTTTCCTTCTCTTTTTTTTTTATATAAATGAAAAATAAGAATAGTTTAAAAATATTTATATTCAAAATGCTTATTTAAATGATTTTTTTTATTTTTTTAAAATAGAGAATAAATTTTGGAAAATAAAATCAAACAAGACCTCATATTGTAATTTTCTATAAAATTTGTCTATGTTGTTTTATATACTTCATATGCTTATTCTAAAATAATTTCTTTACATGTTTCGATTGCAAGCAATTGCTTATAATTTTATATTCAATCAAGTTATGACAGCCATTCTTTACATGTTTCAATTGTCATTAAACATGTCTTTTCCCTTTTAGAACAATCAATCAGACGGTGAAGAGCAGTAAATTTTTATTTTAACAAACAGTGAAAAAAAATTTACTTACAATACTTTTATAAGAGATTTTGTTAACAAAAATTTTAAAACTATATGCTAGTCTAATCTAACATCAATTGTATTAATATTTTGTTAACTATTTTAAAAAATTTGGCTAAAAAACTATTTTCAAATATTATTTCAGACAAAATTTTTTGCAGAACAACTATACTAAACCTGTAATCTATCAAAGTCGGTATACATAAGTTCATATGAGCATTGTTAATGATATTTTTTAATCAGAGGAGTACCTATAGTCCTTTAGATTTTTAATTTTTTTTAAGAATTTGTATGAGTGATTTGGATTTATCTTTTTGGAGATGCTTTCATTGAAAACCAAAAGTAAAATGCAGAATGCAAATGATCTTTCAATTAAGTTTTTTTCCTTCTTTTTTTTTTAATAACCATTCAAATCAAAAGTTTTAAAAAATTAAAATTTATATCATCTCAAACCAATAGAAATTATCCAAGTTTTTCAATTGATTTTTTTTTTCTGCTACCAAAATTTTCAATTTATCAATTGAACAATAACAAACTTTATTTTGTTAGGTGAGGTCGAATATACGAATTGTATTATATCATTATATTTTATTAGCAAGACTTTAAGAATATTATTAATTGAGAGATCTCTTCTAATTTATCAATTGAACATTTGAATTCCTATTAAAAGAAACATCTATTTAATACCCATTGTACTTCTAATATGATTATTTTTAATAAAAAGATATATCTCAATAAAAAAGATACAAGAATATCTTAAAGGTAGACTTGTCATGTGTGTGTGTTTGTGAGTTAGCCCCAAAGGAGGCCATTGATAAAGTAGATGCCAATTTGATGAAAAGGCACTGAAAAAAAAGGGAATAAAGAATAGAACTTCACATGGGGTTATTTTTATTCGACTATAAAATATATAAATTAGAAACACATTATTTAGGACTAACTAAAATCAATGATGGAACTTCTTATAAATTTATATAAATATATTGTTGGTTCCAAGTCTTTAATTTTTCTTTTTCTTTCTTTCTTTCTTTGTTTTTTTTTTTTTTTGGGGCACTACTCTGTTTGCACGTAAAGAGAATAACTTGGACTTCAAGCATGAGTTTGCTTTATTCATCAATATCCTCTCACTTATTAAAGATAGGGAAAATTTTAGTGGGGTCCTTTTGACAAGCTCCTAAAATTTTAAAATTTCTTTACAAATAAAGGGACAGAAATAAAATTAAAAAATTAATTGAAATAATTTTACTGTTTCCAGTGAAACTAAATGCATAAATAAATCATGTAAAAAAAATTAATAATTGATGTATGAAAAATAAATAATTGATATATTTAGAATTTGTAGCTTTCATTAACAAAATAACATTACTATGAATATAAACAAATAAAACTAAACATATGAATAACTTGTGTGAGGAAAATGAATAATTAATGTATAAAAAATGAACAATTAATATAGATGGAATGAGAGTTGCAAATTTATGGTAGTGTTACTTTATTGATGAGTCGTAAATTTTACCTATATTAGTTATTCATTTTTCATACATCAATTGTTAATTTTTCTATAAGAGTTGTTCATATGTCAAGCTTCACGAGGGACATTCAATCATTTTAGTTAGCTCTTTAATTTTATTTTAATTCTCCACTTGTGTAGTGAAATTTCATAATTTTAGGAGTTTTGATTGAAATTAAGTATGGACAATAGGGTCCTCAATGAAAATTTCCCTTAAAGATAGGGAGAATTACGTATAGATCCCAAATAAAAAAAATTAATTGTTTACCAGTTTTGTTCGCTTACAAATATTGAAATTTTACATGTAAATATAAAAAACTGATTTATAAATGGATTGAAGAAATCATTAAATTTTTTATTTAAGGCCTGATTCTACATCTCTCAAAGATATAGCATCTAACTGCCCATAGTCATTTGGATTCTGTCGTTCACTTCTTTTATTTTAACAACTATTTTTTTTATATCCTTTAGTACTAATTTTTATAAATTATAAAATTATGTGTATGTGTGTGTTTATGTGTATTTATACGAATGCTACGAACTTTTTGGGCGAGTCAAGGTTAGGTTGAATTACCAGCACGATTCTAAATTCATTCACTCATATTCACAAATACAAGAAAAATCAATATAATTGCAAGTTGCTATGAAATATTTGTTTTCTTTTTTTGAAAATATAAAAAAGTTTAGATTACCAGGACCAAAATAGGTATAAAACTCAGCATTTAGAGAGATCAAAAATTCAAATTCACGCTTTTATAGTGTATGACTTGCATAGGCATTATTGGCTAAAAAAATATTTGTTATTCATATTACATCTATATGTATTAATATTTTCTTTTCATAAATTGGAGTTTTAGTAGAAATACAATCTGATAGTAAGTGACACAAATAATTTAAAAATTCATAGGCTTCACACTCCTCTTTCCCCTATATTTTTCTGGGCTTGTTTCTATTTTTTTTTTCTTGTTTTGATTGGGCACTGGTGTAATCTAATACGACTCACAATTGAGTGCTAAATTGAAGACCTCTCTCAACGAGAATTCAAAATTTTGATTTATTACATTGTGAAGAATTAGTGGTGTTTTTATTTTTTTTTCTAATATACTGTTTTTACTTTAATTTGTAACGGAGAACGTAAAATTAATACCGATGAATAAGCGCATAGGACTATATCTATGTAGAATGTGGAACAAATCGACTCAAATGTTTAGTCTAGATGCCGAATGAATAATTCAAGTGACAAATAAAGAATAACCACTAAAACGAACCCCTAATATTAGAAAAAATTATCATTCAAAAAGAAGAATAAAATTTTGCTTATAAAATTTAAATTATAATCAATCGGGGTTTGGTATTAATACATGTTGTTAAAACCGGTTAATTGATATATATATATATATATATATATAGGGTTAAAAGGCAAAAATACTCTAGAATTTTTTCTTTAGGAGCGTGTGACATTCTGAACTTTTTTTTGAAATATTTTTGCCCCATAAGTGTAAAAAATAGAGCATTTTCGCTTCATTATTAAAAATTCCTAACATTAACTGTTAAACTCAAGTTTGACCAATGATATTTCTACCCTGGTTTCTTCTGTGTTTAGTCTTCCATTTCATTTTTTGGTGAATGCTTTAACTTTTTTTCTTCTAATGAATAAAAATAAAGACCAAAAAACACAATAAGGAAGGAAGGCAAAATTGTAAAATATCCTAATCAAACTTTAGTTAATGATCAACGTTAGGGATTTTTAACGGTGGGACAAAAATGCTTTATTTTTTAAACTTTTAAGACAAAAATTCTCTCAAGAAAATATAAGATGTCAGGCACTACTAGGAAAAAAAATTTCAAAGATTTTTTTCATTTAATCCAAATATATATATATATAAGTTTTAAAAATATTTTTCAATAAAAAAGAATTAAATTGTGTAATATGTTAAATTGTGTAATATGTTATTATTAAGAGTAAAATACAGTAATCTCTTTCAACAAAAAAAAAAATACAGTAATCTCTGCTGGTTAAAATTAAAAAAAAACAATAATCTCCTTTTTGTTTTACTGAAGTTATGGAGACTTCTCCTCTATTTTCAAAACGTACACTTTAGTTTAATTATTAACATCGTTAAAAAAAATTGTTAAAAATTGTAAGGTAAAGAAACAAATTTATCCATAAATTACATTTCAAATAATTACTAGAAATCATAAAGTAAACTAGTACAAAAAAATGCGTCGAACAATTAAAACATGGCAATGTTTTAAATTTCAAATTTCATATTTTCACTCTCTCTCCCTCACTCACTCCTCCACCGTATGTCTCTATCGTCTCTCATGGGGCTTTAGTTTCTGTCCTCCTGAGCTTACATCAACAGCCTCCATCTTCTCCTTTCCCTTGTTTCCCCTACTTCCCTTCCCAAGTATGTCCTTGAATCCCTTCCCTCCCATGACGCCTCCACCGTGAAATGCAAGTCTGCAACTCCTTCCCCATCTATTTGCCCACAATGACGGAGTCAGGACCTAATGTCAGAAGGTGCAAGATAATTTTATTTAAAAATTAATAATTTTTTTAAAAATAATAATTATATTATGATTAAAATTGTAACAGCATAAGTACATTGATTATCATTTTTCTTTTTAGAAAATTATATTGAATATCTTAATATGATCTTTTATGTAAATATATTATTTTTATTTTATTTCAATCATTAAAATATTACATATTTAATAAGCTTTTGAACTTAACTTTTTTTAATTAATTTAAAGGGTACAAAATATTAAGAGTCCCCCATGGCCACTCCCCTAGGACAATCTTCAATATTCATATGTTTAAGTGTTTTTGCTCGCTTGAATCAACCTCAATAGCTTGTGGAAATGAAAATTTCTGGCTCAAATATGTGCAGAATTTTAAGAACAATGTTCTTGAATGAATTTGTGTTGTTGCAATATGAAGACATTGTCTAGATGAAATGGCTTTCGAACTTTGTGGAGGACTTGCTCACTTGTGCACAGGACGTTGACACGTCGTCTTCATCGTGGTGCTGTGAGCACTGCCATGAAATGCCAAGCTCAATCACTAGATGCAGCTATTTGTGAAAATACAATTGAGAGGGTGTGGGTGTATGGAACATGGTTAGATGGGATTGGAATTCAAAAGTGTGTGAGAGGTGAGACAGTGGCTTTAGGAAAATTAGAATGATTTAAAAATCAGATTGAATAGGATGGTCGAGTTGATTAATTTAAATTTTGATTCGATCAATATATAAAAATCATTTTAAGAGTTAAACTGGGTTGGACCCTTTTGGATTGATAGTTGAATTAGGAATCAGGATCAAGCCATGAATTGGCCAGATTCAGTTTTCAAAAATCAAACTATTCAAAAAATCTTTTTTTATTGTTATTAAATTTTTTTTTATCATCTGACTTGATAAATCATGATAAACTTAAAATATTTTATTCTACTTTTAAATTAAGTAGTAATCTCATACTTATTTTTTATATTTAAAAATATGCATATAATTTTTTTAATTTAATTATTATGTTGTTGATTTAACTATTAATTCAATCTAATTAAATTATATGAATTGTAAACTGTTGATCATTTTGGTTTAATAGTCAATCTGGTTCTCAAAACATTGGAAAATTAAAGGGGATGTGTGATGAGTGATCAATGATGACGGGGATATATTTCACAGACTAGATTCTTTTCCTTAGTCCTCATCTCCTTTTATTGTTTGGCACGTGGACACATTTTCAGTCAAAGCATTTGTTGACAGTCAAAGCTAGCAACTATGTGCTTGTGGGTAAAATTGCTAGGTTTAATTTGGTTGAGGGATTTTTTTGTACCACCTTCTAGTTTAGAACACTATTGATCTTTGAAAAATAATTCCTGAATAAATTTGGTCATTTATCTAAATTCTAAAATACATCATTTTTTTATTTCTAATTATGTTGAGAATTTTAAAATTATTAATTTGTCCTTATAATTTAATTGTCTACTCTTTCCTAATTTTAAAAATTTACAAATAATTAAGTATGTCAATATTTAAATAAATAACTTAAAAATTTTATGGTAAAATTAATGAATTTTTTTTAAAAAAATAATGTGTTGTTTGGCACACTTGGTGTGTATTGGGCACACCAGGGCCTACTTGGCTTATTTTGTCCAGTCCCATTTTAGCCCTCCAAAACACTTCCAAATTTGATGATCCAAAGACTGTAAATATATTTAATATACTCATTTGCATTCCAAACCATCCTTACATAAATTGATACTAAATTTTTATTTAATTAACCTTTATTTGTCCTCATAATCTAGGAATTAAAATCCAAAACGTTACATGGTCTAAAATTAGCTTTTCTAATAGTCCTCATAACCTTGAACATATATATATATATATACACACATATATGTATGCATGCATGCATGCATGTATATTAATTTTATTTTATACATAATAAACTTATTTTATTTGGTGTAAAATTAGCTTTTCTAATAGTTCATTACTTGTGATTTATAGTTGTTTATTTGTTTTAAACTTGAAAAAGTTATGTAATTTGATAAGTAAATATTGACATTAAGTTATGTTTTTTTTATTGTGATTATGTTAGTTTTATTGCTCCTTTATAAAATTCATGTTTGCTATTAGTTGCTTATCAAGCATATTTCAACTTGTACTTTAGGGCCTACTTATTTAAGATTAAAGAATGAGTAATTTTTAGATAGTTTCAAGATTTTATAAAAAAATTATTCTGTAGAAATTTTATAAAAAACAAATATTATATTATGTTTGGTTAGTTATTTTAAATTTTATAATTCCTTCTTTGATTTTTTATTACAAAAATAATTTATTTTTTAATTATTTTAAAAATTTATAATATTTTCCTATATCCTGCTTTTTTTAAAAAAATTCCCTCTCATCTACTGCATCATATATTTTCAAAAATTACTTAAAATAACTTCTTAAAATAATCACACACACACACGCATATTAGATTTTGATTATTTTTAAAAGTTTAACAAATATCATATTTTTTTATAAAAAACTGAAACAAACAAGCCCTTCAGGTCATTTATTAATTTTTGAGTTTACAATATATTTTATTTAGATTTAAAAGAGTTTTCGTTATTTTATATTTTGATGAAATTATATTGTTTAATGATGATACTTTAAAACAGATTTTTATTGGAGAAAAGTGAAAAAAAGTGCAGTTGAATACCTAGAACAAGGTGAAGATATAAATATTTTGGCCAAAAAAAATTATTATCAAAAAGACAAGTTCGTTAGTTCTTAATTTTCTATCTCTTCTATTTTTCCATATCTTTTTTGCCTGGATTTTTCAATACCATCTTGTCCCATCCCCTAAACAAGATGAAACCATTTTTAAAATAGTAGTATACATTAATAAATTTTATCATATTTATTATGAGAGAGAATGATGATTTAGGGCTTATTTTGAAATTATTTTTGTTTTATCATTCTAAGATTTGGTGTTTCGTACAATATGTTCTAAGAAAAAATAATGAAATGAGTGTTTTTCTTATTTTTTTTTATTTTTCAAAACAATAATCACATAATATCAAAAAAAATATCTGCGTTTTTTAGTTTTTAAAATAATATTTTTCTTTTTCCTTTAAAACACTTTTTAAAAATATATCATCAAATAGATTTTTTGTTTGTTCTAGAAAATATAAAACTATTTTCAGAACAGGTTATCAAATAGGTTTTTAATTCATTTTTGTATTAATTCTTCAATTCATTTCTAATCAAACAGGACCTTAAATTGTTATGAAAAAATATTTATTTTCCCAATAAGATATTTAAAGAAACATATATAAATATAGATATTTTAGTAGTTATTTATTGCAAAAACTAGATATCTTCCAACAGAATAGATATAAAAAGTGTGACCATATAAATTTCATATTTTCTTATTAATTATGAAATACCCCACCCAACAAAATGTGGTTTCTTACAGCAATACACACACGCAGAAGAATTGAAAGATGCTTTCACATGCTTCATGGTTCTCTCTTGTTATACACAACACTGATACTCTGTCGCTTGGCCTTTATAATGGAAGCTTGACGATTGCATGAGAGAAGCATTTTCTTCATTCAGTTGCAGAGAATCAATCACTTATCTCATCTTCTTCTTCTTCAATGGCTTCGGTTCTACGATTCTTCCTCTATATCGTCTCCCTAGTTGCTCTAGTAATTTTCGCCGCCACGGAAACTACTTCAGATCAGATTCCCAAGGTTCGACGATCGTGGATCTCTCTCTCTCTCTCCCCCTCTGTTTCTTCAATCCATTTTGCTATGGTTGAATCGCTCTTGATTGATCGATTTTCTTTTCTCTGCAGTCTTATGTTGTTTATTTGGGAAAATCGGCATGGAACAGAGACGGAGCAGATTCAGATCATGCGCAGCTCTTGTCTTCCATTATTCCAAGGTTGGTCGTCGTTGTCATCGTTATTATCATTATCTGATTGAACATTTACGAGGTTCGATTTCATTATGGAATTGCAGTGAACTTCAAAATTGGACTGATTAACTATTATTATTTGTCTCGTTTTTTCCATCAGAAAAGAGAGTGACAGAATTGCTCTGATCCACCATTACAATCATGCTTTCAGTGGCTTCTCTGCCATGCTCAAACAGAGTGAAGCTTCTGCATTGTCTGGTACTGATTTTGTTTGCCATCTCCTTCTTCAGTTCTTCTCCTTCTTCTCTCTCTCTCTATCCTGCCATACTCCTCTGCTTCTCCTTCATCATTTCACTTTCCTTTGCTCCATCAATAGCCATTGATAGAACTGATAGATTTTATTTTAATAATAAATCTCGCAATACAAGACAACGAGTATCTTGCTGCTCGTAAGAAAAGCGATAGAAATTTGATTTATGCAAGAGCAGTCAGGTTTTGATTCAAATAGTTTAGATTTTTTATTTTTACCGTCAATTTTTATATTTTGAAAAAATGTAAAATATAGAGTAAAAATTGCGGTTTAAATCAAATTTATTTTTAAAAAATAATTATTATGAAAAATAGAAAAAAAGATATTCATCTGAAAGTAAAACTTCAGAATCAAACAACTCTGTAGTCTCTACTATTGGAAAGAACAACAGAACACTACTCTTGGCAATCACGATTACACGAGTCTCCCGCCCTGTAGTGTTTTTTTCTCTTTTAAATTAATATGCCAATATATTGATAAATCAAAAACATTAAAAGTTAATTAGTATAGGTTCCATGTGTTACCCACAAAGTTATTAAACTTGTGAGTTTAAGCAAATTTATAATAGAGATATAAACTCAAAACATAAACTAAAATTATAACTCTATTAATAAATAATTTTTAAAAGTATATGCTTAAAAAATTAAAATATAAAATATGATCATAATTTAATTTAAATATGTTTTAAATATAAATAATTAAAATTAAATTTATCTACATTAATAAATTATTATACTTAATATAAACATTTTAAAATAGAGTAACTTATTTTTAGTATTTTTTGTTTTCTTTTTTTTTATTAATATTAGGTTTTGTCTTTTTGAGTTTTATTTTTCATTGACCGGAATCATACTGTTTCTATAAATTAAATTCTACACAGCATATATCTATCTTACTTAATGAGTTTATGAGTAAATTGATATAATTTTATGAATTAAAAACATAAAAATAACAAACTCGAAAAGTTAACTCACGAGTTTAATCAAGTTTTATCTAATTTAAATTTATGAATAAGTTAATATAATTTTATAAGTTAAAAATATAAAAATAATAAAATGTAGAGTCAATTTAAGAATTTGACAACAATAATTACGCATGAAATAATAAAATTAAATTGTAATATTCACGATATATAAATTTTGTAATAACTTTTTAAAACTTTATAGTATATATAGATCTGGGTGAAATAGCTAGTTATTATATTTTAATAAATAACATCTATTCTCTCTGGGAATTAAACAGACATAAATATTGTAATTTGAATATAAATAGCTTGGGAAGGGAATTAAATTGTGATGTCCACCAGTCAGTCTGTACAAATTATTTTCCTCACCAACCTTGGTTTGATGAGCAAAATGATATAAAAGGACAAACTACACCTAACTATACAATACAAATGACATAAAAATGAAAAGAACATTACTTTTTATGAGTGGAAATAAATGTATAATCAGTGTAACTTTGCTTTTGTCTCAATACTAGGGAAAATATAATAAATATAAATATTAAACGAAAATCATAATATGAATCATGTATAATTATTATGCAACTTTACATGATTTCATTCATTTTTCACGCACGCACGCACACAACCTCATCTTACATTCATCGTTTCATTATTAACTATCATTATGCTTTATTTCTTTATACTAAATCAATGTATTACTACTTTAAAAAAAAAACAAAATGACTAAATAGTGGTGTTAAAAAAGTGCAAAGTAAGGTTACATTTTATTTTGAGTGAAGTTTTGAAGTCAACATGTAGAATACTATAGTAAGCTAGTGTTATCTTTCTTATCTCATTCTAATTTGCTACTTAATGTTTTATGGAATTGTATTAATTAACGAAGTCAACATGTTTTATGATATAATGAATTAATAAGTTTATTTCATTCTTTATCTTGTGTTGTTTTAATTTGTACAATAAGTTCCCAAAAACCACCCAAAAATTTATCTTCTAATATTGAATATAAAAATTGTATGTTTCATCTATATATAGGTAAAAATAAAATCGTAAGTAAAATTAAAGTTAACCGAAAAAAATTTAATTAAACTTTATAAAATTTAAGCTTAAAGTGATAGTTGGAATAAAGTTAACAGGTTAACTGATTGAAACTAAATATATTTAAAAGATGACAATAAAATTCAAAAAAAAATAGAAACAAAATAAAACTGAGGAAATAAATTGAAAGTTAACCATTTTTAAAAGAAAATAAATTATGCTAGTATCCTATACATTACACTGATTTTTTTTTTTTGGCCACATACATTACACTGAGTTTAAAGCATAAGTTGCACAATCTACGATTTCTAAATATAGTATGATTCAATATAAATTTTATATTTCATATTAAACCAGCTGTTTAATATATTAATATTAAATATTGATGATTTTTTTTCACCTCAAATTAACATTAATCAAGAATCAAGATTGTACTTAAATATCATTAGATCGCATTCACTTCAATCGCCCTCCCATAAGACACAACATAAAGTCATAAATTCAATAAAATATAATTTTATTATTTCACAAAAACAGATATAATGTTAATTACTCCCCCCTCTCTCAAAATATTTATTAATTTTAAAACCTTAATAAAATATTAAGTACCGTCTTAAAACTTTGTTTCTTATTAACTTTTAATTTCATACAGTTCACATGTTCTATATTTTATATTTCTAATAACTTTCTTAATTTCTCGATACCACGACTCAATTTATTTAGTTAAATGTTTAATAAGAATTCAATTTTCAAAGAGTAGATTACGCATACAGTGTTCAGAATCAGAAATTTAAAAAAAAAAAAAGGATACTGTGTTGTTTGATTTTGTGAATAATGAACACAGGTCTAGAAGGCGTGGTATCGGTGTTCCCAGATCCAGTTCTTCACCTCCACACCACCCGATCTTGGGATTTCTTGGAGTCAGTGTCCCCCGTCCATCAACGTGTCGATCCCACATGCCAACACGTGTCCTGTGATGACGTTATCGTTGGAGTCATAGACACAGGTAACAGCTCATTTCCGCTCATGCTGCTCGGACACTCACCAAACACTAATTGCTAACACTAAATAGGTATGGGAGAATGGCAAAGAAATTTTAAAAAAATTAATTAATTAAAGTTAGGTTTTAAGTATTAAATTTTAAAAATTTAAAAATTTATTTTTTTATTTTGTAATTATATTGTGATGAATTTATAATTTATTTTTTAAATTTTAACATCATTAAAAAATAAAAAAATTGTTTTTTCTTGTTAAAATTTAGAATATAAGTTGTAAATTCATCATAATAGAATTGTAAAATTGAGAGATTAAGTTGTAAATTTTTAAAATTTAATACTTAAAATCTAACTTGAATTAATTAATCTTTTTGAAATCTCTTTGTCATTCTTCCAATAGTTATAGACATGTTTTATCATAGAGCTACACAAAGAACTAGATAGGATTAGATTTTAATCTAATTTAAAGTTTGGTCTCTTTTATGAAAAAAATTAGGTTAGTCAATCTGTAGTTCAATTTGTTCTAGTTATAATCCAAAGATTAATAAGATCTGACTTGATCCATGGGATAAAAGATTGATTCTAATAGTCTAGTACTCAATTAGTTTTTTTTCCCTTTTTTCTTATATGAAAGGTAATAATTTATTTTATTTTAATAAACTCAATTAAGAAAATAAAAATACTTATAATCATAAAAATTCATTGTAATCTCCAATAGCAACAACAACAAAAAATGTTTTATTACAATCTAAATGATTCAAATTCATTATTTCAACAATAGCAACAACAACATTGAACAAACTTCAATAACATATCTAATACACATTGCAATAATAATTTAGCATCAAACTAAATTAAAATTACATTAAATAGAAAGGTGAATTGTGAATAAAGAAAACATTGAGTTTAAACTTCAAACTATTCAAATATATTAAAAATAATTAAAATTATATTAAAAAAATTTCATAGAATTGGATTGGACTAAGTGGTTTAAGAGTTTGGTCTCTTATCCCAACCAACCTAAAAAATTAATTTAATATTTTTGATAGGGCCGTGGTAGCCTCAAGGCAATTAAGACAATTGCTTAGGGCCCAAAAATGTCATTAATATCCCCAATATGAAGGAATATGTATTTGTATAATTTTGTAATAAATGCTAAATGAAAAAATAAAGCCCCCACTTTTTCTCCCCATTGAAGAATGAAAACATTTCCACATTCTTAAAATAATATTTAATTATTAGGTTAGCCTTAATTTAGTCATTAATTATTATTTATTCTCTTTCTATAGACTACAATTCTCTATATTTTGTAAGATTCTTCAGTCTATAGATATGCATATAGATATTGCTATAAATCATTTAAAAGGCTTTATTACTTATTTAAAGAATTATAGAGAATGGTTTTGCATCTACTTTGAAATTTATAAAAAAATATAGCTACTAAAATGAACATAAATCCTAATTTTTGTGAAAAAAATATAATCATAGGAAAAAATATTTTAATGAAAATATTATTGATGAGATCATACATTCAACTGAAGATTCTTTTTATATTGGACATTTTTTATACATTTTAGATCAATCAATTTCTTCTATTGAGAGTCTATTTGAACAATTTTTAAAATATGAAATCATTTTTAGTTTTTTATTTGAATCCAAAAAATTTAAAACTTTGGATGATGATGAATTGAAAATTTTTTGTATTGATATTGTTCTGAAGTTTTAATGATAATTATGATATTGATGGTTTCGATTTATTTCACAATTAAAATTTTTGAGAAAAATATTAATAAAAAAATTAACACACCAGTTGAAATATTAAACTATGTCAAAAGATTAGATACTTTTTCAAATGTATGTATTGCTTATAAAATATTATTAATAATACCTATAATAGTTGCTACTGTAGAAAGAAAATTTTTTAAAATTAAAGTTACTCAAATCCTATTTGAAATCAAATATGTTACAAAATCGATTGAAATGAACTAGCCTTATTATTTATTAAGAGTGAAATGTTAGAATTACTCAATTACAAAACTTTGTTATTTAATTTTGCAACTCAAAAAGCTAGAAAAAAATAATATAAGGATCAATAATTTATTATATTTTAAACCTCTTTACTTATTTTGTCTTAGGCCTTACAATCCTTTGACATGGCCCTGCTTTTTGATTTCTTTAATTTTTTGAACCAATTTTTTTTACTAGACTAGACTTGTTCGGGTTAGATTGAGTTAGACAAAACAATTAGACTTTTGCATTGCCCTACTTTACCCAATTTGATTAAAATGAAATTGTTTAGCTAGTTTACTTTAAATGATTCAAATTTATCTAAAGTAATTTTTATTTTTCCTAATAAACTAATTTTAGATCATTCAAATCAATTAACAATCAAAATTTGATTTAAAATGAGTTACATTTTATCGAAAGGTAAGAGTTTTTTTTTTTAAAAAATCAATCTTGCCTTTCTAGTTTGAAATGTTTAGTGTGTTTTTGTGTTTTGTTTTTATAATTTTAAAAACTTTTAGTGACGGATGTATATAAGTAATTTTTGAATAAATATTTTATACTAAAAATGTATTAATTATGAAAATGTAACTGCCACTTTCTGAATTATAAAGTTGATTGCTATCCACCAAAAAAAAAAAAAAACTAATGTCATAAAAGCATATGTCCTTGTTTTGGAGAAAAAAGTGATTAACTGTTTCACAAAAAATATATTAAATTTAATATAAATTTATGACACCTAATAACCTAAATTCTTGAAGGTAAAAAAAAAACCAAAATTCTTTCTGCCCAACAAACAAAGGTAAATTTTGAGACTTGTTTATTAATTCTAAATTTCTTTTTTTTCCTGCCAACTTATAGTTCTAAATTACATCCAATAACATAAAATAAAAAATTATATACTTAATCTTATTTATATGTATATTTTTTTAATTAAATTAAGAAATATGAATTTTTATAAATTATTTTTTATTATAAATTCTTGTTATTAATTTAACTGATACATTAAAATTTATTTATCATAATTTAATTAGGTATAAATATATTAACTATATAAAATTAAATACGTGAGTTTTATCCTAACATAAAATTAATAATTTTAAAATAAAATATTTATAATTAACATATGTCCGCAATCATTTGCTATGTGACATATTTTAATGACATTAAATGCCTTGAGGGTCAAATAATGTATTCTCACAAATTATAAAATATTTTTAAATAAAATTATATATATTAATAAATTTTATTAAATACATTTTATAACTTTAATTTTTTAAAATAAAAATAAAAATTTAAAAAAATATATTTTATTTTGAAAAGAATATTAAATAAAAAATATATTGAAAAGTGTAATATTAAAAAAATATTATTAATAAAATATTATTTTTGTTAAAGTATTTTATATTTTAAAATGTTAATTTTTTTTAAAATATTTTTTAATTTAAAATAAAAAGGAGCAGTAGAGAAGCTAACTATAGTTAAACTCCACCGACTTGCCTGAATAAATTTGAAAAATTTAGGTTTGGGATTGAGAAAAGTGTGCACTTTTTACATTTTATTTGCCTCGAATAGGTTTCAAAAAGATTACGATTAGGCTCAGGCAAGGCTGAAGTACATGATTCTTTCACTGTTTTTTTTTAAAAATCAAGTTAAATATTAATTTATTTTTGTTAAAAGTAATCAATAAAATGTCATCTGCTTCTGTTCGTCACACGAGTTAAAAGTACATGTATCTTAAAATAATCTTAAAAAATATATTTTATATTAATTTTTAAACTTTTACACCCCAATTTTTATTAAAAAAATAATTGAGTCTTCTGTAATTTTTTAAATATCTCTTAAAAATATATTTTATATTTTTATAATAATAACAATATTAAGTCATAAAATAAAAATTTAAATTGTTTAAAAAATAAGAAAACATAGAAAAGTATCTAACATTTAACAATTTAGACATTTAGGCTAGCTTAAATAAACTAAAAAACCTAATTTGTTAGAGCATGATCTAGTTATGAGTCCGACTTAAATAAGTTTGCGTATCATATGCTATGCACAAAAGCATATTGTAAATTAATATATTTAGAAAATAAACTATAAAAACTTTAATTTATTTAAAATAGTAATTTTTTCTCTTTTTTAAATATACAATTTTCACCAAAAATGTATTGCATTTTATTTTAATTTTATTATTATAATAATCTCTGAACTAAATTAAACATAGTTTCCCCAGAAACTAAACTAAACTAAAAGTTAATGAATAAATAACATTTTATTTAATTTTTTCACATCCATTCGTAGATAAATAAGCCAAGCTGGCACATGATACATTCCTACCCTTGATAGCGAGCAGCATGTCTTAGGAACGCATTTACCAACGTCTTTACTGTTTTAATTATGTGACTAAAAAAAATAACACTGATTTTTTTTATAAATTAAAATAAAATATGTAATTTTAGTCATCAACAATTTAAAATAAAATATAAGTTGTTTTAATGAAAGGTTTCATTTAGTATTATTGCCACGGAGAAGATAGTGATGTTGGAACAACCCAAATAGATACGGGTAAGGGCCAGTGGGATGAGTTTCAACATGCTCCTCACATGGCCTGCCTTCAACTCTCCCAATATCATCTGCTACCAGTCCCCCATCAGAGATTTTTCACAATTATAAAGTGAGGTTTATAAATATAAAAAGAGAGCTCGATCCAAAAAACCGTTTAAAAGCTGACATCTTCAGTAGCCCCACTTCACGACATTTAACTTGAACCCTTGCTAGTCAAGGCCTTGTTAGAATGGAAAATCCTTTGAGCTTATATAACACCTTCCTCTCATTGAACCCACAGACATTGAAATAATGAACTGTGATCATTATGGAGTTGTGACAGCAGCATATGCTCTCAAGCTTAAGTTATTGGTGGAAGACAGCAATTGTCAAGAGAGATGATTGGGTACAATTCATAATGATTATATGACGCACCCTTGAGATTAAGTACACCTCATAATGATTATATGACTCACCCTTAAACTTCATAACCATGCATCAATTTCTCCTGAAATAAAGATCTAGTATGGTCATTCTTATAGTGAGCACAAGCCAACTAGGCAAGGAAAACTAGACCTCAAGTTGTTTGGTTGGGTCGGCTGACCAAGTCCGAAGTTCAATAAAGCCGAAATGTTGGCTTATCATTGCTAATGAAATTCCAAAAGGAAGGCAAGGTGAAAATTGATAAAATAATAATTGAAAATCTTGAAATAGCTCAAGTGAAGTTTAAAGGAAGAGCTTTCACTTCACAGTGCCGTATACCCTTTTTATGAAACTGACCTTTTAATTGTACCAATGTCATGAACATAATTTTAAAGCAAAAGCTCATCAAAAGATTTAACTTGTTGAGTGAAAGGATCCCCCACACTTATAAATTTTACTCAATTTGTTAGACCCTCTAATGTGACAGTCATGACAGAGCAATGAGGCAGGCACGAAGGGGATCATGAGAGTCTCTTAGGAATATCCTGTTTGGATATGTCTGCTGGACCATGTGGATTACTAGATGTGACTTCCTTTCCGTTGAGGGAAAATGTTAGATGAGAACAAGTGGATGAACTCATGACATAGAAAGCACGTGGGTCTGCCAAGTGGAGATGACTAGATTGGATATTGGTTTCGTAAACGCTCGAGGGTCTGCCACATGGGCGGGTGTTTTGAGGAACTGTATGAGTGAGTGGATTTTGGGATTCCCCAAACAGAATTGATAGCTCACATCATGATGCTGATCTAATGGGAATTACAAAGAGATTGATGCTAATTTAGAATTTAGGGTGCCGAGACGCCAGAATTTTTTTAAGGTGTGATGAGGCAATTAGGGTCACTTTCTAAATAGATCTATGAGGAATGATCCACTCCGATGAAAGCTAATTTCAATGAGTTTAAAAAGCATATCTTTCAATTGCATGCATAGAGGTTTCTTTATTTATTTATTTATTTTTTTTGGGCCAGGCATAGAGGATTCTATACAAACAAATATATGCAGACAAATAGAGTTACGAGAACCTAGTCTTTTGTTCGCAGCAAATACACAAAAGATGAGGGAAGCAAGAAAGCCAGAAAGGTGTTTAGTGCTTCTGAATTCAGAGTGAACGAGTCAGTTTTCACTATGGCCTCCCACACCCATGTAGCTCCCATGCACTTCTTAATTCGATAGTTTTCGGGTGTCCATGTTTCTGAAAACTGTTCCCACGCATTTCGTAAAAAACCGTTTTCATTAACATCCGGAAAAGTCCCCATCTAACAATGTGGGCTTGGACTTGGGTTAAAGCTTGATCCACCGAAGGTGAACTTGCTTAATCCAACACAACCCTTTTAAGTGACTTTCCCAAAGTAAAATGAGAAATAGATAGATCAGACTGATGAGGCTCACATGTCAAAATATATAAGACCCCACTATATTATATGTCTACCTTTCTCCTACATTAGAGGGAAGGATACACTCATGAATGTTAAAAAAAAAATGTTGAATTGGCTTCTAATGTGTTTATTGAATTGGTATAAAGAGGTCAATAAATGAGCAAATCAATAGCTAGGTATGCACATCATTTTTTGGTCGAACTGTGCATTTAGATTTTTTTTTTGTCAGAACTGTGCATTTAGTTTGATAAACCATCAGTGTTCAATCACGATTTCTTTTTTCTTTTTCTTTTTTTTTTTGAAGCTGACATGTTTGGAGGAAATGTTCCTAAGCAAGTGTAAAGACCTCTTGTTGAATATAATCTTTGATTCCCAAAAAAAAAAAAAATTAACAAAATAATTTGTACTATTTATCCTCAGCACCTAATATGCACGAAAACTAAAAATATGCATTTCATATTTAAAATAACAATTGAAACCCATCCTCAACATTCATAATTACTCGAATAAGTGGAGATTTTGAAGTTTCTCATGCATTCTACATTCCTACATTGTTGAAATATGTATCCTTAGGAAGTTGATCGTACTGACACATCAAGCGCCGACAAATCCCAGTAATGTGAATAACACCAGACTTCCCGTTAGTAGAAGTTTCTGTATTTTAAAGTTTGAACTTTGAACCTTCCATCCATTTTCCGTTGAAGCTTAACACAGACTATAAAATTTCATCAATTTCTAGCTAACATGCTATTTTATATTCATTGAATATTTATTATTCACCCATGCCTATATTTGATCTCTTCTCAAGGGATTTGGCCTGAGTCTCCAAGTTTCAACGATGAAGATATCGGGAAGATTCCCTCGAGATGGAAAGGAACTTGCATGGAGGGTCATGATTTCATGAAATCCAGCTGCAACAGGTGATCATATCCTTCTAATTTATAATTTTTCAATCATTATCTACTTGGAATATCGCAGTTACAAAATAGTTTATCTGTGATTCAAAATCTTGAATCAACTCCTTATGGTTCAGACCCAAAAAAAAACGAAAGCTTCTTTATGGTCTTATTTATTCCCTTACATTTTGTGAGCTTAAAAAAATGACGAGGGGAGAGAGAGAGAGAGAGAGAGAGAGAGAGAGTTTTGTTCAAAATATGTTGCTTCCATACTTTAGACAGTTTCTTTCTGCCCAAAAAAGAAGACGACAATTTCAATATTATGACTTATACTTGTTCTATTTTAATCTTAGCACTGACTAAAAAACATTATGAAATCATCCAAACTAATTTTAAACAATAATGAATTGTTTCATTGTCCATGTTCACACACACACTGGAAAAAATTTAGATCCAAATCTATTCTTCCATACAATTCACATCACAAATTGAGTTTATCAACCATTATAATTCTCAAGAGTGTCGCAGTATAATTGCAGGAAACTGATAAGAGCAAGATATTATGATCTTCAATATGATGACTTTATACTTGTGCCATCTTAATCCTAGCAATGACTTCAAAACATTATGAAATTATCCAAACTAATGTTAAACATAATTTAATAATGAAACTTTTCATTCATTTGATATCCACACTCCCTTTGGATAAAATTTAGATCCAAATCTATTCTTCCATACAATTCACGTTACATATTGAGTCTATCATCCATTATAATTCTCAAGAGTGTGACAGTATAATCGCAGGAAACTGATAGGAGCAAGATATTATGATCTAGAAATTACACTGGATGGTAACAAGACTCACCACCTAAAAGGCAGAGGGTCCCCTAGAGACTCTGTTGGTCATGGCACTCACACTGCATCAACAGCAGCAGGCAGCAGCGTTGAAAATGCTAATTATTATGGCTTAGCAAAGGGAACTGCAAGAGGGGGCTCGCCTTCTACCAGGATTGCTGCCTACAAGGCATGCTCAGAAGATGGCTGCCTTGGCTCCACCATTCTGAAGGCTATTGATGATGCTATAAAAGATGGAGTGGACATAATCTCCATCTCCATTGGGCTCAGCTCACTCTTTCAATCAGACTTTTTGAATGATCCCATAGCCATTGGAGCATTTCATGCTGAAGAAATGGGGGTCATGGTGGTGTGCTCTGCAGGGAATGATGGCCCTGATTCTTACTCTGTTGTCAATACAGCTCCATGGGTATTCACTGTTGCGGCTTCTAATATTGACAGGACCTTCCAGTCAGCTATTGTCCTTGGGAATGGGAAAACTTTCCAAGTATGTCTCTTGCTTATCAAAAAAAATTGGGAGGATATCAATGAAAGACCTTGAAAGAATTTAATATCTAACAAGAATTTCTAATGAGTAAACATTAATAAATAACAAGTGAAATTATTATTTTAACAAGTATCCAATCTGTCTAGGATCCTTGTCAAATATTACATTTTTTAAGGGGTCCTTCATTGATACTCTCCCAAATTCTAACGTATACCCACGTGTGCACACACCCACAGAGCCAATGCAAACGGACATAATGATACACTAAAAGTAGGTTTCACCAAACGTCCATATTCCCTTTACCTATTGTATACAAAATGAATCTATTTCTAGACTCGTGTCCCCTTCAAAACGGGGGAAATAAACTGTACAGGTAGATAGGTTCAGAGACTTTCTTTGAAGTGCTGGAAATATAATACATTGTGACCTTTGTTTTCTATGCCAGGGTTCCGGCGTCCACTTTTCAAACCTAACTCGTTCAGAGATGTATCCTCTTGTCTTCGGAAAGGACATTGCTGCCAAATTTACCCCTGTATCAGAAGCAAGGTACCTTAGAAGTGTCATCCATATGAATCTGGTAGTTTCACTAGCAAATATCATTTCATGCCTCATATTTTTCAGGCCACTTTCTTTAAACATGCCAATGGAAGTCCACTCAACTTATTAAAGATAAATTACAAAATTAATTATAAACAGGCAAGGCACAGGCACAATGCATCAGGGTTTGGTCCACTTATCATTTGTTAACCAAAACTACTTTAGAATTTCTCTCCATTCAAAGCTTACATTCCCTGCTACTTAGTTTTATATAGGAAGCAGTATTCCCATAGGCAGTTAGTAGCATTAGTACCAGTAACATACGACTCATGATTGTAAAGTTCATAAATCAAGTACTAAGTTGCTCATACTAGCATATCTCACAGTTACAAGTCCGAAAACTTCCCCTCAAAATTTAGTTCTCTATTTTCATTGAAATGCAGGAATTGTTTTCCTCGATCAGTAGATTACACAAAAGTTGCTGGCAGCATTGTTGTTTGTGTTGCTGATGATCCAACTGTTTCAAGGCGAATCAAGAAGCTAGTTTTACAAGATGCAAAGGCCATGGGGTTGATACTTATTGATGAGGACAAGAAAGATGTTCCTTATGACGCAGGTGTCTTCCCCTTTACAGAAGTTGGTAATCTTGAAGGGTATCAGATCCTTGAGTACATAAACTCTACCAAGTAAGCACAACCAACTTCAAAATGCTTATCATTTCTCATGCTGCAGGCTGCACCATCTTCGTACTCATAGCGATTCTTCTGCATTTTTTAGAAAAATAAAGAACATGCTCTCATTTTCTTTCATCTGAATTCCAGGCTGCTAATACAACATGAAAATCTCTAGTTATCTGAATGTTCTTAGAAGTTATCACCTTGATATCAATATATACATACACATATATTAGCATAGCACCTTGCTTCACATCTACAGTTTTGGATAATTGAGTTTACTATCAAACTAGTTCAAGAATCTGCTCACAAGCTATAAGTGGAAGGAAGAAGGTGGAGACATAAATAATAAAGGTTAAACAGCTAATGAAAAATCATGCATGCGTGCTAAATGATGATTGTCTGAACAGTTGAGTAAAGGGTTAAATAATTAATACATAGATTGCAAAGGTATGCTAACCCAAAATCATTATTTATGCCTCTATGGCAGGAATCCAACTGCAACAATCCTTCCAACAACAGAAGCTCCAAGATATAGACCTTCACCAGTTGTTGCATCTTTCTCATCTAGAGGTCCTTCAAGCCTAACAGAAAACATTCTGAAGGTATTTTTCCATCGCATGTCCCTATATGCAAACTAACCTATAGATGGATATACAATTGTACAAGACCATGACATTTACAAGGCTTTTCTTATACTAACTACAAAAACTCCATTGGTCAGCCTGATATTATGGCTCCAGGAATTGGAATTCTAGCTGCAGTGGTTCCCCAAAATTCTGAACCAGGAAGTGTTCCAGTTGGGAAGAAACCGTCCCTATATAGCATAAAATCTGGTACATCTATGGCTTGCCCCCACGTGACAGGTGCTGCAGCACTGATAAAATCAGTTCATCATAGTTGGAGTCCTTCAATGATAAAATCAGCTCTAATGACAACAGGTTCCATAAACTATTCCGTAACTTTTATAGTTAAATCATATTTTGGCAACCAACACATAGATGGATTATCAATTTCATCTCACGTTTTTTTTTTCTTTTAATTTAGTCCCTCAATCATAAAAATGCTTTCAATGTTGCCATTCTAACCTATCACCATCCTCAAAAATTAACACAAAAGCTAACAAATTGCTGACTTGGAGTGGGGGACCTGAGATGTGAGTTCACAAATCAAGGTAAATCATAAATGTCCAAGCCAAAAATTGAACGAATTTATGGATGGAAAGAGGGTGGAAAGAAACATTGAAAACAATTTAAAGGTTCGATGGCTAAATTGAAAGAATTGATTTGTAAGTGGACCAATTTAGAGATTTTCTCTATAATTTTATCAATATGCTCTACAGTGTACAGAAAAAGGAAAGTTACACTCACCCTGTTTTGTTTCATTTCCAACTTTCAGCAACAATTTACAACAACATGAGGAAGCCTTTAACCAATAGCTCAAGCTACATTGCCAATCCACATGAAATGGGAGTTGGAGAAGTTAACCCACTTAGGGCTCTCGACCCTGGTTTGGTCTTTGAAACAAATTTGAGAGACTATGTCCAATTCCTTTGTTATTATGGTTATTCACAGAAAAACATAAGGTCTATGTCAAAGACAAACTTCGGCTGTCCAGAAAAGTCCAGCGAAGGCCTTATCTCCAATATCAATTACCCATCAATCTCCATAAGAACTCTGAGTAGGCATCAGAAAGCACAAGTAATAAGAAGAACAGTCACCAATGTGGGTCCCCCTAACGCCACATATATCGCAAAGGTGCATGCACCTGAGGGATTGGCTGTCAAGGTTGTCCCCAACAAACTTATTTTTGCTGAAGGTGTAAAGATGATGTCCTATAAAGTCTCATTCAATGGGAAGGCAGCTCGTGGTGGCTACCATTTTGGCTCTATAAGATGGCTTGATGGTCAACATCATGTCCACACAGTTTTTGCAGTCAATGTTAAATAATTTGATATTATAAAGGTTCAGCAGATTATAAGGCATCAAAACCCACACAAACAAGCGCACACACTGATATAGATAAACAGAATACAAAGAAAATCATATATGACTGTGTTCATTATTTTCTACTTTAATTTATGAGTGGGAATAGCCTTATTTTATTCACTAGTCTCTCAGACTTCATAATCAATATCCTAATTTCTTGGGCAGACACAGCCATAACTGCTGATTCAGGTCATTGCTATGTTGTTAGTTGAAAAGTGACTCTGCAATACACTATTGTGCTTTTTACTACTTAAGAAAACTATATGACAAATTGGGAGCATTTAATGAGGCTATTTGGTTAAGACGACTGGTTAGCAATCTGGATTTAAGACACACATAATGATTGCTTAATGCTTTAGCTAAAGGACAATGCTTTTAGCAAAAATCAAATGTATAAAAAAAGAACCAAACATTCATGTCATTTCTAACTTCATTCAGGAGATTATATTTCAAGGTACCATTATGGTTTAAAAGACAGGAACTACAGAAACAGATATAATGGCCATGCCGATTACCATATGAGTTCAATCACTTCTTGGACTAAATTAGCATTTGCAATCTGAGTTGCACAATTGGGTATTGGAGAAAGATACTTAAGAATACACTAAAAATTTGTGCAGCCTGTTAAAAATCAAGCCTAGGTAAAGATTTTTCATGTGATTGTGCTTAGTTACAATCCTTGACTATATAACAAAGGATAAAATCCAGATCTCTAACTACAATTTAGAGCATGAAAAGGAAGCCACATTGCTTCATGTGAACTAATTCGAAGCTACATGGACATTCTTTTGTCAGTGATACAGTTTGGACAAACACAGCAGCATAAAGGAGACAAATATCATGAGATATTGGTGGATGTAAGCCAAGCCACTTTTGTATTATTCTCCATTTTTTTCATCTATCAAGATCTCAGACAATTTTGCCCAGCAGGCATAGACTACAGTTGGAATCACCTAATTTCCTATGTTATTATACTTCACCATTAATCAGTAGCCGTTTCCACCAATTCCAGCAAAAACAATTATTTTCCCTTTATAATCAAATAAAGATATCTTACAGATAATATAGTAAGTAAAATAAACTTGCAACAACTATACAACTCACTGCTACTACCATTACAGTGCAAAGCAGAAAGCAGACTGAGAATTTGGCTCAGAGGGTATAGAAATCTTCAACACCATTATTGTTGCTTCTTTTACAAATTTAGAAGACTGAGTCAGAATTTCAGAAACAAAGGCCATCCTCTATATTCATATTTTTAAGTGTGTATGTATTATTTCTCAAAATCTTCATAAGCATAATAATACCAAACGTTATTTCAATTACAAGCTCAATCATATAAGTTCATTTCTATCAAAGATCAATACTACACCATACCTTCAATTGCTCACTTCGTTTCTAACAAAAGATCAATCATCTTCGTCACCACTCTCATCACTGAAATAGCTTGCTTTCTTCGCCTTCTTCTTCTCCACAACCTTGTCATTGCCAGTCAGCAACCTTTCATCCGCCCCATTATCCACAATAGAAGCCCAATTATCATCCGCAAACCGGTCCCCACCGTCGGATCCATCGTCATCATCCTCCTCGGTCCGCCGGTACCCGCCCCCACCACCGCCTCCGCCCCCACCACGTCGTTCACGCTTCGGAATCGGACGTTCCCTGGGCCCCAGTTGATTCCTGGGACACTCATAAGACAAATGTCCTGATTCCCCACACTCATAACACCGACTCTTATCCTTATAAACCCTTTTCTTTATAAATTCCGGAGCTCGGCCGTTATCGGCGGCGATGGAAGCAGTCAAGGTCCTACCGTTGAGGATTTTGCGGTTCATCTCGCGCACGGCTTTTTGTGCATCATCGCGAGAAACGTATTGGATGAAAGCAACGCCACGGCTCTGGCGAGTGACTCGGTCCTTGAGAACAGTGACTCGGGCGATCTTGCCGAAGGTAGAGAAGAGGGTATGGAGGTCGGAGTTAGTGAGGGAGAAGTCGAGGTTGGAGACGTAGAGGGTAGATTTAGAGGGAGCTAGGCCGCCGGAGCCACCGTGAGTCTTGAGGGTTCTGTTGGGGTTTGAAGACGGTGCGGAAGAAGCTGAAGAGGAAGCATAGCGGTAATAGAAGATGTCTTCTTCTTCGTCACTGTCGCTGTGCTTCTTCTTCGGCATCGTTTACTGAATCACAGGTGAGGCGCTCCCACCCAGGCCTAAATGCCGTAGTCCAGCGCGGGCAAAACTAGCAGCCCTTGCCTTAGCATGACTCCTTATCAACGTGCATCCGTATCATCCTAAAAATCGTTAGTAGAGGGTAATTAGAAAAATTCAATCATAAATGAGTTGGGGGATGCTTAGAGGGAGTTGACAGACTTATTTGTCTACAGCATTTGGATTCGGTTCGGTGTTGTATCGGGTAATCTGTGTCTAGTTAGAAAATAAATCTGGGGCAACCTTCTCAATGCTATCCACTGCGGCAGCCGCTGCATGTGTCACGGCAAATGTCCAAATTTTTTATATAATAACGAGAGCTCTAGTTTGAAAATCAGAAAGGGGAAACAAAGAAGAATGAAGAAGCATGCGCCCGGCTCTACTAGGGCTTCCATCTACTGGTGTTTAGAGTGTTTTAAAACTTTCAACCACTTCTAATAAGTTCCCTTCACCTCATCCTTCCCTCCTCTTCGTCTTTAGCTGGACTTTGAGTTAGAATTTGTCATGAGAAAGTGATTTTTAGACTTAAAGGCTTTAAGTCTAAACTCATTAGCTAAAATGAAGGTAATGGAAAATTGTTTAAGCTTTTTAAATCTAGAAATGAGGGTTTTATGTGTCCATAAACTTGGCTTCTCATTTATGGACAAAAATGAGTAGTTAAAGAGTAATGAATGTGAGTTGAGATTGTTGGAAACTATTAATGGTGATTGTTGGTGTAGTGAAATTAAATAGTACTAATGGGAGTTAATGCACCTAATGGTTATGATTAAACTCAAGAGGTTGAGGCCTTTGGATGGTTAAAGTGTTGAATTGAGATTTTTTTTTTTGGTTGAAAGGGAGGGGAAAATATCATTAATGGATAAAAAAACAGAGTTTTAGCCATAAGCCAAAGACAAAGGTATACATAGAAACAAATCAAAACAATAAATCAACCAATCCCCTCGTGGTCTTGTTCAACAATTGAATTCTGTAGCTGATCATCTTGGAAAGCCTTAACATCTCTATCCAAAATAACAAAAAGAGAGGGTAAGTTTCAAAGACCCAACTCGAAGGTTCTAATACCCTTTTTAAAGCAGTGGTTGCAAGGTGATCTATGGCAGAGTTTCCTAATCGCTTAACTAGGGAGAAGTGCAAGTTATATAAAGAGGTAGAGGCATCTAAAAGGTCTAATAGTAAGTTGCGATAAGACTATTTTCAATTAAACAAGCTTCTAGTGGTTAAAGCCTTAAATGGCTCTTGGAAGTCTACTTCAAGAACAAAACGTTGATGGGCCAGCTCAGAAGCTAAGGTTGTGATATAAAGAGGTAGAGGCATCTAAAAGGTTTGATGGTAAGCTGTGATAAAACCATTTACAATTAAACAAGCTTTTAGTGATCAAAGCCATGAATGGCTCTTGGAAGTCCACTTTAAGAACAAAACGTTGATGGGCCAACTCAAAAGCTAAGGTAAAAATCAATTCAATAGCCTTTTTACAAGCAAGTAGTTCAACCATGAAACTAGAATCAGTAGCAACTAGTTTACACCATCCCTGGATGAAATTACAAGAATGATCTCTCAAAATAATACCAATACCTACTTGACCCGAGGAACTAATATAGGAGCCATCACATTTCACTTTATGAGGCAACCATATAGATGGTTGTGTTGACACTGCATTAGTTAATGATTTTCAACAACATTAGCATTCTAAAACTTAATAGCACCTGCATTTGTGATTGAAACAACCTTGAAAGGGTCAATTTCAGCAGTAGAAAAAATAATGGCTGACCTCATCTTCCATATATTCTAGCAAAGATTAACAATATACATTTTGTCATAATCATCAAGTAAGCTATTTACTAAGGTCAAGTTAGAGCACCATCTATCAAAAGTAGTAATATCATTAGCTTTGATTCTAAAGGATAAATAATAGCTATACCAAGCTTGCTTAGCCCAATTATAAAGCAATAGAAGATGCTTGATTCTTTCATATTGCTTAAAAAAATAAGGCAAAGTAGATTAATGGCACATTTTCTTTTGTAAAGAGCCTCTTCAGTTTCCAAAGACTTGTTAGAGGTCTCCATAAAAAAAATGTTTAATCTTTGGTTGTAGTTTAAGGTGGCAAGTACCTTTCCAAAAATCATGTGGAATAAAAATAGATGAGCTTAAGGCCTTGCTAACACCAGCAATCAAATCAGTCATAGCTTTCTTGTAACTCAACTTAGCCACATAGTAGCCATTATATGCAGCAGCCCAAACAACAAAATCAACAATAGAATTTCTAAGAATTGGAATTTTCAAGATATTAGTAATAATATTGTTGGAAAATAGGTTAGATAAAGATGAAAGTTCCCATTTATTATTAACCATCAAATATGAGACAAGTAACCCTTCATTTTTATCAACTCTATTATTTCCAATAGCTTTAAAGGAGGGCATGTTGAGGATCCAAGGATACTTTTAAGCCATAATGTTTAAGCCAGAGCCTACCCTCTAACAAAGGTCCTTAGCAAGAAAATATCTCCCTGCAAGGAGGTTGCTCTAAGCCTAAGATGCTTTAAATCCATGCTTAGCCTCAAGAAAAGATACAACAGGAAAATAAACACTCTTTAGTACTTTCACCCATAATTGGTCATAATTATGAAGAACCTGCCGTGGCGATTTAGCAAGAAGTGCATCAGTAAAGTTCATGAAGTCTTGAAAACCAAGGCCCCTATCATTTTTTGCATTACAAAGCTTAGATCAAGCTTTTAGTGAATGTTATTTCTATCATTAGATTGACCCCAAAAGAAATTAGCTACCATGCTATTAAGTTCTTTGTATGTTCTTTTTGGAAATTTGAAACAGAGCATTAGGTAGATAAGAATAGCATTAATGATAGCTTTTATCATTATCTCTCAGCTAGCAAAAAGGAGATGTTTGCTTCTCCATCCCTGAATTTTTGTACCAACCTTATTCCTCATATAAGCAAGTGCTGCTACTTTAGATCTACCCTAAAAGATAAGCAATCCTAGATAAGATCCAAGATGATCAACAGTAGGAATGTGAAGGAAATGATAATTAAACTTCATTTCTAACATCAGTAAGAGTGTTTGTAGAGAAAAACAAGGATGACTTATCTAATTGATTCATTGCTCTAAGGCCTTATAATAAATCTAGAGTAATTCCTTCACAATGCTACAATTTTGTCTTGAACCTTCAAGGAAAGGATAGTGTCATTTGAAATAAATAATGTGTAAGCATGGGACAATCATCAATGAGTTTAATGCTATATAGGTCACCATTAGTAGTATGGAAGTTTAGCATTCAAGAGAGCATATCATTAGCTAGGATGAATAGGTAAGGTGAGAGAGGATCACCTTGTCTAATACCTCTTCTAGGTATTACTTAAGGCATGATTTTCTATGCTATTTGAATATTAAAATTTGTGCATCTCATAGCATATAATTCATTTGATCCACAATTCACAAAAACCTAATTTTTGCATAACTTCCTTAAGAAACTTCAATTCAAGCCTATCAAATACCTTATTCATATCCGTTTTTAAAGTAAAGGCATAATCTCTAATAGTTTTCTTTCTTTTTAAATGAAGAAAGACTTCTTACACTAGAAAGATATTATCATGTATAAGGCGATTAGGCACAAAAGCACACTGTTAGGGGGAAGTGCACACATCTAAGATAGATATGACTCTATTGGCAAGGGTTTTCTATATGACTTTATAGGCAAAATTGCACAAACTACTTGGTCTAAATTGAGTGATTGACTTTAGCCTATCAACTTTAAGGATCAAGATAAGATTCATTTAACTTGTTTAGTTGAGTGCCACCAAATAGGAAGTTATTAATAAGAGCATGAAGGGAGTTATTTACCTCATTCCATGTACTTTGATAAAAGTGACTAGTATAACCATCTGACCCTAGAGCGTTTATAGCTCCAAGTTGGAAAGCTGCTTATTTGATCTCTTCATTAGTAACTGGTACAGTGAGTAATTGATTTTAAGAATCCAAGATACATGGACATAACTCATCGCCGAGAAAACATCATATACTTGCCCCTTAGCAAATAAGTCTTCACAGAAGTGAGTAACTATTGTTGCAATATCATCTTTAGTATCAGCCCATAGGCTATTAGATTTTTTGAGCTTCACAATCTAATTTCTTTATCTTCTAATTATGGTTGATATGTGAAAAATATGTGTATTGAAGTCGCCAGAGGTCAACTAGTTCACACGTGAACATTGCGACTAACATAAGATTCCTTACCTTGCTAAAGGTGCACAAGTTCCTTAAATAGAAATTGAACTCGTTCTTAGCTTTCACTGGTAAATCTGCCACTTTTGATTAGATTAATTTCTTTTAGTGTTTTAATCAATAGTTTTTTTAAAGTTCAAGAAAGCTTTCTTGCTCTGAATAGAAAAAAGCATCACCACAATGATAAGTACAAGAGATAAATTGTGAAATAATAGCAGTATCAGTCGGGTTATTAAGAAACTAGTTATTTCATACAATATTTATAAAATCTATATTTTAGGCCCACAGTGTAACATCTTAACATTTTAGAACTTGAATTTAAGGAGTTAATAAGGATAAATTGGTAAATTAGTGTATTTAATAAATTGATCCCATTTTTAGATCCCTAATATGCTTGTTGGAACTTTAGACAATCTTATAAGTGGCTTAGGATAAAGTTTAGGCCAACCGAGCTTAAGAGCAAGGCTAAAATTTGGGCTTGCCTTACTGTGCCATTTGCCATAATTGAAGCACCATGCATAGTGATAGATAGGATAGATTTTGGATAAATCTATCACAAGGTAGTTTAAAAAACAAAGGAAATAAGGAAAGAAACACAAAAGGCAATGGAGAGGGAGCTTTGGGTTGCTAGGGCTTTAATCTTATACCTATTTGGAGACACTTTAAGCTAGAGAATCACTTGGGTAAGCTTCTTATCCTTCCTCCCTCTTCCCTTTTTAAATCCATAGGTGTTGTATCCATGAACACTTGCGTTATGGCTAAATCCATTAAGTTCTTTGAGTCTCTAGGGTGTTAATTTAAACTTTTATGCTTAGGTTTAGTAATTTTGGAATTTTAAGCTAGGGTTTGAAAGAACCCTAAGCTCGATTTGGAGGTTTGGGAGTAAAGTAGGTTGTAATTTAGTATTGTATAAGTTTATTTATGAATGCTAAATGGAGCTAATGGATTGTGGTTAGAGTGTTGCTTAGGGTAATGATAAATTTTGGATAGTAAGGGTAACCTATCTTAGCCTAAAAGTTTATTTATTAGAATTGTAATTTGATTATTAGTGTGTAATCTTATAAATTAATTGTTGTTTGGATCCCTTAGAGCTAGTGGAGGTTGCGGGAGTAGATAGTTGCCACAGGTAACCCTTTTGGAGGTAATTGAATGAACTGATCCTTT